TCGGCAAGTTTCAGATTGTTCGAGAACAAGATATCGCTGGTACAAAAGGGGACAGTACGCGCTCTCCCCTCAGTCGCATTTTCTTTCTTACCATACCCTATAGTTACCGTCCTCCGTAAGCTTTCTTATCGTCACTCCAACGGCGTTCTTACTCGATATTAGTTCTGCTTCATCATGGCCCAAACAGAAAGCTTTGGATTCCAGGCTGAAATCAGTCAATTGCTTGATCTTATCATCAGTATGTTTCCTTCTCCCCGCAGGTCGCGTTCGTTAACCTGTCGCATCTAGACACCTTCTACTCGAATAAAGAGATCTTCCTGCGCGAGTTGATATCTAATGCTTCCGATGCCCTTGATAAAATTCGCTACGCGTCACTTACCGAGCCGTCGGTCCTCGACACTGGAAAGGACTTGTGTGTTCGCATTGTACCGGACAAGGAAAACAAGTTGCTTTCCATCCGCGATACGGGCATTGGGATGACCAAATCTGATCTCGTCAACAACCTTGGTACTATTGCAAAATCCGGTACAAAGGTATGTGTCCCTGTTCCACATTTTGTACTTGATTAAGGTTAGTCCGATTCCAGGGTTTCATGGAAGCTCTCAACTCCGGCGCCGATATTTCTATGATCGGTCAATTCGGTGTTGGTTTCTATTCAGCTTACCTTGTTGCCGAACGAGTGCAAGTCATCTCCAAGCACAACGACGATGAGCAATACATTTGGGAGTCGGCCGCTGGTGGAACGTTTACGATCACTCTTGATCAAGTTAATCCTCCTCTCGAACGTGGTACAGAAATTCGTCTCTACTTAAAGGAGGACCAGCTGGAGTACCTGGAAGAGAAACGGATCAAGGACGTTGTCAAGAAGCATTCCGAGTTCATTTCCTACCCCATTCAACTCGCTGTGACTAAAGAGGTTGAGAAGGTATGTGAGGATGTGCATAAAATGAATACGTTTCTGATTGCAGTCTAGGAAGTCGAGGACGAGGAGGAGGAAGCTAAAGATGATGAAGAGAAACCAAAAATTGAGGAGGTCGAGGACGAGGAGGAGAAGGCAAAAGAAAAGAAGACGAAGAAGATCAAGGAAAAAGAAGTGGTCAACGAGGAGCTCAACAAAACGAAGCCAATCTGGACACGTAACCCTAACGACATCACCTCGGAAGAATATGGATCATTCTACAAGAGTTTGACAAATGACTGGGAAGATCACCTCGCAGTCAAGCACTTCTCTGTAGAAGGTCAGCTCGAATTCAAGGCCATCCTCTTCGTGCCTAAACGGTGCGTATACGGGTAACGACCTTACGAATAACACGCTTATCAAGTTAACAGTGCGCCGTTCGATCTTTTCGAATCTAAAAAGAAGCGCAACAACATCAAACTCTATGTCCGCCGCGTCTTCATCATGGACGACTGCGAGGATCTCATTCCTGAATACCTCAACTTCATCAAGGGTATTGTCGACTCTGAGGACCTTCCCCTCAACATCTCTCGTGAAACACTACAACAAAACAAGATCCTTAAAGTCATCCGCAAAAACATCGTCAAGAAGTGCATGGATTTATTCAGCGAGATTGCTGAGGACAAGGATAACTTCAACAAGTTCTATGAAGCCTTTGGAAAGAACTTGAAATTGGGTATCCATGAAGACGCGCAGAACCGTAGCAAGCTAGCGGAATTCTTGCGGTTCTACTCGACGAAATCCGTGGACGAACAAACGTCTTTGAAAGGTACGGCGTTGGTTGCCGGTAATTATGCATGCTGACAATAATCACCATAGATTATATCACTCGCATGCCAGAGGTGCAAAAATCCGTTTACTATTTGACCGGCGAGTCGCTAGCGGCCGTGCGCGACTCCCCATTCCTGGAAGTTCTTAAGAAGAAAGGCTTCGAAGTCCTATTACTCGTGGATCCAATTGATGAATATGCTATTAGCCAGTTGAAGGAATTCGATGGCAAGAAGCTTATTTGCGTCTCTAAGGAGGGTCTGGAATTGGAGGAGACCGAGGATGAGAAAACTTCACGCGAAGCGGAAGCAGCTGCTTTCAATGAATTGTGTACCGTCGTAAAAGATGCGCTTGGTGACAAGGTCGAGAAGGTCGTCGTTTCAAATCGCATTTCTGATTCTCCGTGTGTCTTGGTTACTGGCCAATTCGGATGGTCGTCGAACATGGTGAGTCACGATTCTGTATGTGTACGTTAAACTCTGCTGAGACTCTTTGTAGGAGCGAATCATGAAAGCTCAGGCTCTTCGTGACACTTCAATGTCGTCCTACATGGCGTCAAAGAAGACTCTCGAGCTGAATCCTCAAAACGCCATCGTCAAGGAGCTTAAGAAAAAGGTTGCCGAAGACAAGGCCGATAAATCAGTTCGCGATCTAACATATCTCCTCTATGAGACGGCACTCCTAACGTCGGGCTTCGCGCTGGAGGAACCTACATCATTTGCCAAGCGAATTTACCGCATGATTGCTCTGGGCCTTGACGTGGATGACGAGGAGACAGTTCCTGCACCACCTACGGAAGCACCCCCTGCGGTGGAAGCAGTATCGACTTCTGCCATGGAGGAGATAGATTAAAAAAACTCGTCGTGTCATTTATTCAACATGTGTTATAGTGTAGCATTGAGGTCAAATACAGCCAAACAACATCTACATCTTGTCGTCACAGTTTCATTGAATCTCCTTTCATCTCCTCATGTCTTAACCTGTACTGTATTATTCCAATTCCTTACACGTCCGTCGACCATGGACACATCTAACATGTCCGATTCGTCGGTAAGCATATTCACCGTCTTCCGGGATGACCCATAAACAACGCGCCTAGCATCTCGCATCGCCAGTTTGCCTTCCCGATTCCGCTGTTAGCTCGTCAGCATTCGTGAGTACTACTATACCACGTCCCCGTCCACTGAACACTCCACGACAGTTTTTCAAGCGCAATTTTAACTCGACACCAAATGCCACAACGACTACGCCACGCCGACCTTATCTACTTGATCCACGCTCAGAGAATCACTCTCATGCATTCGATTCTCTTCCTTGGATCGCCGCGTTAGACTCCCCAACGGATGCGCTGAACCTCAATCCTTCAGATATTGCAGATCTGTCGCAGTTGCCACTTCCTCGTTTTTCTGCATCCACTCAGCGGAAGCCTAGGTCTTCCGTCCGCGTTCTTTCTCCAAATCCTGATCCTATTTGCAGTGACATTATATCTGAAACCGACGTCTTAAATCGCGCTGGATATACACCCGCAAGTGCATCTACGACGCCCCCATCCCTTTTCGACCCCTCTCGCACGACATTCTACGATTTGATGCCAATTATTGACTCGACCTCGCATGGCATGAACATCAGCTGTCTGACGCCTCCTAGGACATCAATGCTTTGACTGTAATCTATTCCATTGCTCTGCTCTATCTTACTTATCAAATAGTTCTGAATCTCTAATTTGTCTCATAGAGCACTGTAACGCTATCACGGACTTTCAGATTACGATAAGCGTACGACTCGTTCCTACTTGTACCGGACCTTTTACATTGTGGTGATTTTTGTTGTAAACTAGTCGGCTTAGATAGATAAGCAACGTAATCAATTTTGGCTCCTCACAATCATGTCCAGCTCCCGAGTCATCTACTTTGGCCCTGGGCCATCGGCTCTCCCAGAAGATGTGCTTGAGCAAACGTCCAAGGCTTTGTTCAACTTCAATGATACAGGCATTGGCATAGCCGAAGTATCACACAGATCAAAAGATTTCCAAACCTATATCACCCATTGCGAAGCTCTGATACGAGAACAGTTGCATGTACCTCCCACTCACAAGATTCTTTTCACCCAGGGCGGAGGTTCGGGGCAATTTTCCGCAGTCGTACTTAATATGCTCGCTCGGCATCGATTGTTGCATCCTAACCTGGATGATGATGACAGGACTATGGACTATGTCATCACTGGCTCCTGGAGTAATGCCGCAGCAGAGGAAGCGAAAAGGCTCGGAGGCGCGAAATTTCACATTGCAGTGGATGCTCGTACCTACTCAAAAGATGGAAAATTCGATAATATCCCACCTCACGCAGTATACAACTTCTCCCCCGATCCGGCACTGATCTATTATTGCGAAAACGAAACCGTAAACGGTGTTCAATTCGCGAAAGACGAGAATTCACCAGCGTCATTCCCATTCCACCTTTTGCCGAAGGACAAGTTACTCCCGCTGGTTGGCGACTACTCCTCCTCCTTCATGTCACGGCGTATCCCGCGCCTGGCTGATCATGCTATCATTTACGCCGGGGCACAAAAAAACCTTGGACCTGCCGGGTTGACCATCGTCATCGTCCGGCAAGATTGTCTTGTCGACGTTGATGCCGCAGCGCGATATGGCGCGACACCCGTTCCGGTGACCATGTCCTACAAAACGCTTTCCGACAAGGGCAGTTTGTTCAATACGCCGCCTGTATTGGCAATATACATGGCAGGATTGGTTCTGGAGCGCAATAAGAAGTTGGGAGGCGTAGAGTACTACGAAGACCTCAATCAGAGGAAAGCGGATAAAGTATACGGTGCTCTCAGGGAAGGGGAGAAACGGGGTATCTTCAGGAGTATAGTGAACGTAGGCTCTGGTAGCATGATGAACATCGTCTTTGAAGTTCTTGGAGAAGGTGCTGAGGCAAAATTTTTGGCAGAAGCGGAAAATCGGGGCTTAAAGGGATTAAAAGGCCACAGGTCTGTTTATTCCATACTTCTGCAACGGTGTGCTGATTACAATCACAGATCCCTTGGAGGTACGATGCAAGCTTTCGACGCCAGACATCGCCTGACTCTTTCTTTGACAGGTATACGTGTATCGTTATACAATGCAATAACGGAGGAGCAAACAAGTAAGCTTGTCTCTTACATGAAATGGTTTATAGCGGGAGGAGGGCAGTAGTTAGGAATTGAAGAATAAATAATACATACTTTGTACGTAAAAGCATTTAGATAAAATCATCTGTGAACGATCAGTTAAGTCACTTTGCCGGAGTGGTTAACGGGATCGCCTGCTATTTATGATAGCTGCCAGCGGTTGGGCTTTGCCCGCGAGTGTTCGAATCGCTCAGGTGACGAATTTTTTCCCCATGAACATGTATCACTTTTAGCGAAATCTAATCAACACCAGCTATGAGGGACCCATCCCAACAACGAATGTACTTTTTCCTCCTCGTGGGAGGACAAGTATCTTCTCTGCGCCGTGTACTTGGTGTGTATCTATACTAGGGACGTAAGGAGAACCCATAGTCGTCTCGCCGGAGGTCGGAAGCGTGATCACAGTGACTTTAGGTAGAAAAAGTTCACCATGATGTAGCGCTATCATTGTTATCGGCACGTTGAAAGTCTCTCCGTCCTATAACCATGGTCAGGAAGCGGCCATAATCGAAACTCAGACATGCCTTTGCGACGAAATCGCCTCGCTTATGACCACTTATCAACCAATCTTTGACATGCTCTTCAATGTCAAATCGCATTGCATACTCCGGAAGTTTTTCACTTCCCCAATGAAACGATGTGTGAATGGAGAGATTGGCATGAATTGGCTGTCCAGCGTATAAAGTTCGCTGGCCAATAAGTCCCGTTTCAGAATCATGGATTCTTATGCATGCAGCAGCAACGACCTTAAAGAAAGACAACGTCGTCGTCATCACAGACATCCTGAAAAGCTTAAGGAGTAACCTCACGTGCATCTGTGGTACGTCGACAGGAATCTTCATTATTCTCCAAGTGCCATCCGGCTGGGCAGAATGTCGATGGTTTTCCAAGCTCTTCAAGCACGTGAAGCCGAGGGTAGCAATTTGGTACACTTGCTCACCTTCTTCGCGGACACTAGTAAGGTATTACTTTGTTCGTCGTGAAATCCGGGAACAAGGACCTCTCCGGTTATTTCATATAACTCTACCCAGCTAGCGTCTCCCTCTAATGCCTCGACCAGTTTCTTCACCGCTGTCGCGCGATCGTCCGGATACGCTGTAGTCGACATGGTCTGAAGGGAACCTTTCACAGCGATCTGGACAAGTTCTTCAACCTCTAGCCAGGTCATAAGCTTAAAACCTCAAACTACGTGCAAGAATTACCTTCGCGCAACATACGATATTGTACAACGAGAGTTAACGGTTCGCGCACTTTGAACCTGCTATCAGTATCACACCAAATTCTCTTTTTGCAAAACGAACCTGGGCCCTCATCGCAGTCCAAACGAAACAACGAATGGATCGGTTGCCCTGGTCGTATAGTCTGAGGCAGGTTAAGTTACGATTAAACTTGGACCAAAAAATACTACGTACCATGACACCTTGTCTCGCCGGGCGAGACGTTACTCTGAGATTGGGGAGTTCCGGAGGTCCTTCTAGTCTTACAGAAGCAATCCGGACATGTTGATGAGTTACAGTAGAGATTGTGAATTTGCTGATTAGGCTGCATGCCGGATCAATGGGTACTGCAATTAGCATTGAGAGATATACCTTTTACCACGGAAAAAGTCTTCCACGTTCACAGAAAATGGCAAGGCAGTCATTAAGGTGCGGGTCGAACGCAATGTTCTGGAAACGCTGGGTTCTGATGTTGTAGTGTAACGCAGGTCAACCGAGACTTTCTGTGTTTGATGTTGGACGAGTTCTCCGATACTGACTTCAAAAACTGACCAGAATATGAGAAAGCGAATCCCCATTATAAGGTACTTGAAGCATAAGCGTAGTATCAGTCGCTATGTCTGCATACACAACACTATCGTCTGCGAGTGTAGCAATGTTTTTGCCTACGTGGCTGCCCATGAGTTTTCATTTACAAAATAGAATATTATGAGGAAACCTTCCGGGTCGGTTGCATTTTGGAATTGGAAGTTAATGCCTGTAGCTGCTAGTTTTAACACTAAGTTTTGGATGTGGTTCCGGCCGGTCGAAATGATAGCCAGCAGCGAAGGCGGATGACCAAGTTTGACTGATGATTTAAACTCGTCAATCGTAGTAAGAGACTTTCATTATTGGTCTTACTATGCGAAGGTTGGTGAATTTGTATGTCAAGAGAAAGAGGATCCGGCGGCACGTGGACGAGAATAGGCATCTGTCCAGGATGCAGGCCCCTTTGGCTCTGTCTTTTATACGACCATTGGAGCTTGAGACGTCCGATTCTTATTTGACATGAGTCAAGCACATAGGTTCCGGGACAGGACACCTAATCGATGTGAAGCCGGATGAAGAGACACCACCTCGCTACTCACAGGGACAGAATAACGTCAAGATTGTTTTACCGGTGGCAAGTTGGTCGACTCTTGCGGTTAATAAGACGTACTCCACGTCCCTACCAGATGCAGAGACAACAACTTCATCGACTGGCACGCTCTATGATCCATATCATCTGTGTGTGAAACGCAAGAATAAAAAACTCCATACGCAAGGCAGATGGTTGTGGACAATGATATCCAAAAGCACACCATCCTCATAGCCAGCTAGCCTGACACAATCCGTAACCTTGACAGTTAGAGCAGGGTGGTCTGGGTGTACTAAGTCTAAAACCAGAGATAAGTTTAGAAGTCACGGAGGAAATATCAATCACCTGTTTCTAACGTGGATGAGACGATTTTGAGGGATTGAAGTAGGGATGAGATGAATTCGATACGGTCACTTTTGTTGATCAGCGATTCAACTTCTGGGCATTCAACGGAGGTCTTTAGGAAACCGAGGAGAATATGAATCCATTCAGTACCCTTCGTCTGCTGCAATTCGGAATGGATATCAAGCGCTCGTAGTAAGGCAAATGATTCCAGGGAAAACCACATGTAAGGCGCATAATGGGCTGGGAGAGAAGAGTATGTAGCGAGAGCTGATGCAAGCCGACCGCGGTGGCTAAATTGAAATGGTAACTCAATCAAATATTTTATAAGAGAAATCTTACACATCGAGAGCCGCCAAAGTTTCATGGAGCTTTAACGCAAATTTGCGACGCTTTGATCGGGCGTACATCTCAATGGCTCGATTCGTGATTCGGATATACAGATCATAGAAGAACTCTGAATCGTCAATGCATGCGCGGACATCGGGGTTGCTAATCGATTGGGTCAAATCAACAGAACCGTCGTTTTGCGGACCCATTAGAAATGGTGCGCGTGGAGGTAGATGGGTCGTTTTAGTACCTATCAGATTAAGCTTAAATTTCAAATTCGCGTGGTTAGATTCTAATCATTGAAGTTAAAAGCAAAGAAAGATATACCTGGATTTGAGCAAGTTCCAACAACTCACCCTTGATAGCGTAATAACCCAATAGCTGGGATTCCTCCGTCTCGCTAGCAAATGTCCATTCATCGCATTGGTCGACCACGCTTAAGGCAGAGTTATATAGCCACGACTCGATGAAAAATGCCGGTAATGTCGTCTTTTGGAACTTAGGTGGAGGGGATACAGGTATAAAAATTAGCGTCTCTTACCTCGATTCCACGCAATTGCCTAGAGAAGGTGACCAAGAATGTTTTTGCATTTCGTGCAGCTTCACTAATTTTCCCTAACATGGCTAAAAGTCCACAACAGCGTGCCAAGAGGTATATACGCAGATCAAATACAGAAATATTGTTGGCGAGTATCAGGTCCCGATAAGGTTTCTTTGTATGCGAAAGCAACGGCGAAGTATCGTCTGTTTGGTGAGGTGTGATAAGACTCCCGAACCATGAGAGGTTTTTCTCCTTCAGGACGTGTGCAAAGATTTCTTCTAATTCATTGTAATGTAATAAGGCTTCTTCGAATAGGTTCATTCCCTCGAAAGAGTTTGATAGACTTTCCTATGCCCGAGTTATTCCAGGTGAATGCAGATCTGGACGCAGAACTTACTTTAAGGATGAAGAATGTGCAAAAGTTCCATCCTGGCATCTGACGTTGACTCTCCGAACGTTTAACTTCGTCTTCTCTTTGAGAAATAGCGGTATCGAAAGCATACACCAAGCCGTCTTTAATTTTGTTCAAAATTTCGGCCCATATGGCTGCGCTTCCCTCGCTTCCTGGTGTCCAAATAACCTGAATGCAACTGCTCGCATAAGACAAGATTCAGAGTTGACGAGATTCGGCACAGTACTAACCGATCACGCTTGTCCGTATTGAAATCAGCTCTCATTCTCTCCAGCACCGAGCCTTTCAACTGAAATAGTTTGCCACCGGGAGCACGGGCGTCATGCTTAACAAGGTGAAGTAATAGCCAATCCTGATTTTTCCTGGATGTGACAATGTTGAGCCAATCTTTTACTTGTTTCTTATGTACGAGTCGATAAGCTTCCACATCTGCATCCTTCAAGAAAACCATGAAACAGAGGTACAGTAACTGCTTCAACACTCACTTCGCATGTGACAACGTATATGTTCAGCAATGGCTTCTCCAGCACTGTTACAGGTATTTGAGATGTCAGCTCATCGCGCACACTGTCGAGCTGGACAAGAGTGAAATCTAATTCTTGGATTGTCCTCAGGGTTGCATGACCGCTACTTCTCCAATGAATATTCCGCAATGGGAGTTGAGCCAAAAGGGACGAGTGTATTTGTTTCCAGCTCCCTGAAGCTAGAAAAGCTTGCGGGGCGGAATAAGTTACGAGGACTTGTTTTGGATACGGAGATGCCATGGTATTAATGTAGGAATAAGAAACTCGTGGGAACAAAATCACGCCAAACTACCGGAACATAAGATCAGATCGCAATACATATTTTACCCCTTTGTGAACGACAGAGCCCTCATGCAAAAGACATTCCATGCCATGCCTAGAGTTTCGTACTTCTATTGATGCGTTTATTGTCGAAGTAAGATTTACTTACCGATGAAGAAGAGCGGTTCCACGCGTCAACGGTACTGTGATAACCTCCCTCGTCTTATTTTTCTCCTCTACGTAAAATACTGTCTAAATGGTGATTTATTGATGTGCGGGCCACCGTCAGAGGTACACGAGAACTCACTTCTCCGCCTTCTACTCCATCCTCTTGTCCTGATATATAAATGAGTAATGTCCACTCTGACTTCACTCCGGTCAATTTGTCTTGTACGGAGTCGTCATAATGTGGCCTTTATTGAGCCATTTCAGTGAAACTGATGGAATGATAGTAAC